TTGTAAAGTGCTTTTTTTAGTCTGGCTGTGGCTTAAATTCAGTTTAGTGGGAGCTCTGAGCAGGGCAGAGAAGGATTTGTTTTGTGCTGTCATGAGGATTGTGCTGCTGAAGTTGTGCCTGGTGTATAACCTGGGTGCGCTCGAAGGTGGCCTTCTGGGAGACCTGTGTGTTTAATGGCTGTGTCTGTGGGGCTTCTTTGGGAATTGTCCAAGGGAAACATAAAAAAGGGTTTTATCTGACATCTGTAAAGGGATGTTGCTGATAGAGAAACAGAGATTGAGTTAAAGTAATACAGTAGCAAAGATGCAGTTTGCCTGAGTTCAAAATCCAAGATAGCTTCAGAATATATATCTATATGATTATAAATGGACAGAATTTGTATTGTCTACCTGATTTGCTCGACTAGAGAGGAAGCAACCTTCACAAAAGGATCAGGTTTCCTTAGCATGTACCAAACCAGTCAATCCCTTGCAACCTAGACCACCTTTCTGTGGAAATGCTGTTAGGTCAGACCTTCTACCTGTATAGGGGTGTCTCTGCAGGTTAAACAAATAAAACTCCTACAGCTGCATGTCTCCTAAATCTCTCACCAAATTTGTCATGGAATACTGAACTTTGAAACATGAACAACCTTGTTTTACCTTCGTCTCTTGCAAGTGCCGAGTTGTAGAAAATTTGAAGAGCGATCTACAAAATGTACAAACCCTGGAAGAAGAGAGTATTTCACAGGAGTGGGAATTTGACCTGTATACTTTTGACTTAATAGAGAGTGTACACTAAGTGTTCCCCTGTCTAGACAAGGGAGCTAGTGTAAGAAATTAGGGGCATACTCATAAAACTGTTCTAAAATCACATCTTTTTCATTAATTTTTCTCCTTTTAAAAGTACTAACAGAGTTGATTGTTATTCTGGACATGGTAGTTTCTAATCTTAAACCAAATGCTGTCCAAAGAGTGGACTAAGATTTCAATTCTATAAACCACAGTACTGTTGTAGGACCCCTCTTGGGCCACTGCTCCTGAGAAGGAAAGGACAATACATCCTTTTGATGCTTTTCCTCTCACCTTATTTTGTGTCTCTCCCTTTCTTCCCTTCTTTTAAATTGTGAACTTGTGGCAAAGGATTCAGGAGCTTCCTGCTTGCTGGTTAGGTGCTCAGTGGCATCCGTGCGACAGGGCATGCGACCCTCACCTGGGAGAGGCTTTGGAGGCTGTTGTGTCCTCTCAAGCCATGTTGATAGTAGGTCTCTTAAAACTTGGGAAGCAGCAATGGCCCTGCTGGCTAATCTCATTATAGCAGCAAAAGGAAGATATCTTTCTTTTCAGATCTTTAAAGATAAGGTTTTTAACAGCTTGGGGTCTTTGAGAGGCCCAGGGCATCTCTGTCTGCAAGGTGCTATCAACTTTCCCCAAGCCCTCCTCAGGCTTGATGGGTGCAAACTGGGCCATTCTCCTCAGCAGTCCTCAGAGGAGATCCAGTGAAGCAATGCACGGGGGGCAGGTGCTGGTGTTCAAACAATCAGCACTGGTGAGCACAGCGTTGAATGCATCTCTGCCAGTTACACTGCCAACAGGTTTTCCCGCCTTCTCTAGCAGCCAGCTAGTGGTATTTCTTCTTTAAACTGGAGGTCTAGGAAACTAACCTGGCGTGAAGAGGATACTGCTGTGCACTGACCAAACCTGAGATCTGTACGCTGCTGAATTGTCTTCGGAGGGTGGAATTTTTCGTCTTTGCTTGCCACAACTTGCTTTGAAGCTTATCAGTTTCCTCATCCATCTGTCATCCCTAATGGAAAAAAAATACATATGGATAGTCGCTGTGCACTCATAGGAAGAGGCAAACAGCCACAAGATGCCAAAGATTATCAGAAAGATAAGCTCTATTTTAAGTGGTAGAATAGCTCAACCACATTTGATAGTGGCTTTCTCCATACAGTTATGTAGTTGCCCTGAGCTTGTGCTTGCGTGTAAAATAGGAGAGGATGAACAGGTAGGAGAAGGGGAGGAAGCTCAAGAGATACTTAGACTCTAGGACAGGACATAGCCAAGGGGTACTGGAATAACTTCATGTGTGATATTAAATGGGGGAAAATAGCCAGCATTCGAGTCAGGTGGAGTCTTCCCTGCCACATGATTTTGCGTCTTTCTGTTGTGTCCCAACAGGGCAAGTCTCCCCAAGATCTATGGGCTCAGCTAGGGCATGCAGTCCAGGGTTTCTGCATGTTGCTTACTTTGTTCCTTGCAGCTATGGCAGGTGGTGGATCAAGCCATGTATGCATTAGATGGTAGGGAGCCTGGAGACTGAGAACTGGCTGCTCTGCAGCTGCAAAGAGTAGTGATCTTGACCAAGAAGGGAGGGTTTGTGTGAACTGATTCCCTCAGAAAGATGGAATTTCATTTTTTTCATCTTTGGCCACAGAGAGCTTCCTTGTACAACTTCACTTTAGGTTGCACATGGTTTCATTTACAAAAAGTTGTACTTGTGAATAAAAGGTAGAAGGAAGACAAACTTTTCCCACACATTAGAAGAGCTCCAGCCTTATGGTTGTCTCTGGTCCCTGCTTTTTCTCTTAGCGGATCACTCATCTGTTCTTGACATTAGCTGGAGAGCACTGTGTAAGCCAGGCATTTGTCTTTACCTCTCACTAAATGTTTCTGTATATCCAGTTACATCTGTGTAATTTACAGCCCTGGGAGCACTTTGGAATTTCTTGCCTTCCTACAACATTTGCTGGGAGGTGATGGAGGCAGATACCTGACACAGAGCTTGTCCCTGGCTGATGTTGTGGAAGAGGCTCTTGTAACATGAAGAAGAGTCATCCTTGCGCTTTGGGCTCTGGGGTTCTTTGAACATCCTGACTTTAGAGCTAACTAAAATGTCTTATGCCGTTTTTAATTGTGAATACATTTTATGCTCATGAAAGTCAAATGAAGAGTTGTCCTGAGTTTTAGCTGGTACAGTGCAATGCGTGGACTTTCTTCCTAACACAGCTGTCTCCTGTCACTGAGCTTCTCATTAGATCAAAAGATGATGCACTGTGTGACACAAACTATGAACTTGAATTCTGTTCTTTAGAGCTGAAAAAATCGAAGTGAGTGTCCCATAGCTGACCTGCTCTTTGGACAACAGTCAACCTTAAGTCTCTTGCGGAAGTGGCAGAACTGCTCCAGTAGACATTTCGTGGCTGTAGCAGGAGAAAGCCTGAAGAGAGGAATAGCTAGGGACTGCAGTGGTTAATCAAAAAATGTGCCCTTACAAGCATATCGAGATTTGTAAGGTGTAGTTTCCACCCCACTCCCCTTCTGTGATCGGAACTGGAACAACGATGCATATTTTTTAATATCCTGTACATTCTGTGCATTTTCTTCTAAAAAATGTGGTGTATCTACAGTTTTACAGTGGCAATACCAATTATAAAATACTACCATGCCTTACTGTTCCTTAAATTAGTCATTTCTTCTGATTGCCACAACCTAAGCTCTCAATATGCAAATCCACATGTAGGTGTATAACCAATGGACCTCATTTGTCCAAGATCCAGCCCACTTATTTGCTTTGAAGACTCCGAGCAGATGTTTTGAATAATGATGTGGGAGACTCTTTAAGATATATCATAGAAGGAAAAATATGTTTAGTCTAATTCTATGAAACTTCTCTTCCCTGCCCTTATAATTTGAAACCCTGTTTAAATACGTGCTTTGCCTGAAAATCAGTGTGGCCGTTTGTGATCAGGCTGCCGATCAGGTGGAAAAGGATGGCAGCAGAGAGGTTTGCCCGCTGGAGAGGGGGTGGTGGTGGATAGTGCAGTTTTTTAATTATCATTTGAGCCAACACACTCGTAAGGAACGGGAATAGGTTGGGTCTATAGTGCTTCCTTTCTCCTCCCAGCGTTTGCCGGGGGTGTTTTTCCTCACGACGGGAGTTGAGGGCAGGCTCGGCCGGTGGGCTTTGGTTGGCAAGTGTCTGCCAGGGGCTGGGCTTGAGAATACCTGCTGCTTGGGTTGGCCGGGGCTGGGGAGGGGGCCCCCGAGAAGCAGCAGCACCAGCTGTGAGTGCCCTCTTGGTTTGAAAACCGGGATGAAACCCCACCGTAAAACTACCTAAGTGGAAGGAGAATAAGTAATCAAACCCATCCTCTGCTAGATCAACTAATTTTGACTTCCCCCCCCCCCCTTCCATTCCCCAACTGATAAAACT